CTCTCTCTCTCTCTCTCTCTCTCTCTCTCTCTCTCTCGAGAGAGAGAGAGAGAGAGAGAGAGAGAGAGAGAGAGAGCGCGAGGGAGAGAGAGAGAGAGAGAGAGAGAGAGAGAGAGAGAGAGAGAGAAGGAAACGAAGAGAGAGTTCTGTTGCAAATCTCTGGGGCCGTATGCTATACTTCCCCTTGGAGGGAGATATCCCCAAGTAATCCTCCATTCCCTGTCCTTATCTCTGCCGATGCCTCTCGCCGCTCTGCATCTATACTCTTCTGGCGCACGCTCTGGGCGAATATAGTACAGCGGAGAGAATAATCGATTTCTTCCGCTCTCCCCAACACATGCCGTTGGGGGAGGTGACTGGGAGAACAGGAATGCAGAGACGTTGAAGCAGAGAGAAAATGGGCATTGCACTGTGGGGGGGGGTATCTTCCTCTCGAGGGGAAGTATAGCATACGGTCCGGTGACTGCTTTGAAGCATATCCGCTAAAGGGTTGGCATTGCATCGTGCACTCAACGCAGTGCGAATCGATCGACAGAGCAAAGTAGTACTATCACCAAAGTGATGCGCTACTTTTACCATAGAATATGCCAAAATCCGATCCTCTTTGTTCTTATAGACAACTTACTGAAACACTAAAGCAGACATTTTTGACAGTGTGCACTAACGGAAATTTCCTGTTGAAAATCCTGAGGATACTGCAATACGATTCTGTGTTTTCGGTCTGAACACGACTTGTGGGTAGTGGGATTTTTTGCCATATTTCTCAGGACCAGGGACGCGATTCAAACATGTCGCATAAGTTGATATTCCATCGGAAATATTTCGTCAATGAAGGCTGCACTCACCATGTGAACTTGCGGAATAAAAAAATAGAACTTACAGGTGGGCAGAGAAGGCTTAGTTCTTCAGTGGTGGTTGTGGTGGTTGTGGTGGTTGTGGTTGTTGTGGTTGTTGTGGTGGTTGTTTCTTCTTCAGTGGTGGTTGTTCTGTCGTCGAAAAACAATTGCTGAAGTATTATGCGCAACTTCTGAAAAATGTTAACATTTTCCGTGCCATCAACAAATTGTCAGTGGTACTCCAACGCAAGAGTAGTATGTTTTACAACACGTGAAAAAGTCGCTTTGGAGCAATGCCAGGTCTACGGCAGGCAAGGAGGGGCGCAAGTGGTACGATTGCGCTCGCTTCATTATTTTCCGTTGTGATATATGTTGTATATGTACCATTTTCACTTTAAATTCACCCTTTTTCAAACCAAATTCACCCTTTTTCAAACCAAATTCACCCTTTTTCAAACCAAATTCACCCCTTTTCAAACCAAATTCACCCTCACTTTTCATCAAATTAACCACACTTATTAGGGCGGGCAACTCATCAACCAGATCACGCCAGACATCACTGCGAGCCCCGCCCCGACGGCCACGCCCACTTGTCAGCGCGGACATAGATTCTCAAATCTTGTTTCATAA